TTGTTAGCACGTATCGGCGCTGTGGCTTAGTTGGTTAAAGCGACAGTGTTGTAAACAGGAGATCCTGAGCTCGAATCTCAGCAGTGCCTTTATGAAAATGGCTTATGCTTGTATTTTGTCTCATGGTCTGGAAGATACATTTTTGCTTACGAAACCCTAGAAGATTGTTATCACGTATCTGCGCTGTGGCTTAGTTGGTTAAAGTTACTGTATAGTAAACAGGAGATCCTAAATTCGAATCTTAGCAGTGCCTTCATGAGAATCGCATGTTCCTGTATTTTGTCTCATGGTCTGGAAGATACATTTTGCTTTCAAAACCGAAACGATTTTTAGCACGTATCGGCGCTGGTGCTTATTTGGTTATAGCGCCTGTCTAGCAAACAGGAGATCCTGAGTTCGTATCTTAGCAGCGCCTTCATGAGAATCGCTTTTTCTTGTATTTTGTCTCATGGTTTGGAAGAAACATTTTTGCTTTCGAAACCCTAAAAGATTGTTAGCAAGTATCGGCGCTGTGGCTTAATTGGTTAAAGTTGAGTTCGAATCTAGCAGTGCCTTCATGAGAATCACTTTTTCTTCTATTTTGTCTCATGGTCTTGAAGAAACATTTTTGCTTTCGAAACCCTAAAAGATTGTTAGCACGTATCGGCACTGTGGCTTAGTTGGTTAAAGCGCCTGTCTTGTAAACAGGAGATCCTGAGTTCGAATCTTAGCAGTGCCTTTATGAAAATGGCTAATTCTTGTATTTTGTCTCATGGTCTGGAAGATCAATTTTTTCTTTCGAAACCCTAAAAGATTGTTATTACGTATTTGCGCTGTGGCTTAGTTGGTTAAAGTTACTGTATAGTAAACAGGAGATCCTAAATTCGAATCTTAGCAGTGCCTTTATGAAAATGGCTTATTCTTGTATTTTGTCTCATGGTCTGGAAGATACATTTTTGCTTTCGAAACCCAAAAAGATTGTTAGCACGTATCGGCGCTGTGGTTTAGTTGGTAAAAGCGCCTGTCTAGTAAGCAGGAGATCCTGAGTTCAAATCACAGCAGCGCCTTTATGAAAATCCCTTATTCAAGTATTTTGTCTCATGGTCTGGAAGATACATTTTTGCTTTCAAAACCCTAAAAGATTGTTAGCACGTATCGCCGCTGTGGCTTAGTTGGTTAAAGCGACAGTGTTGTAAACAGGAGATCCTGAGCTCGAATCTCAGCAGTGCCTTTATGAAAATGGCTTATGCTTGTATTTTGTCTCATGGTCTGGAAGATACATTTTTGCTTACGAAACCCTAGAAGATTGTTATCACGTATCTGCGCTGTGGCTTAGTTGGTTAAAGTTACTGTATAGTAAACAGGAGATCCTAAATTCGAATCTTAGCAGTGCCTTTATGAAAATGGCTTATTCTTGTATTTTGTCTCATGGTCTGGAAGATACATTTTTGCTTTCGAAACCCAAAAGATTGTTAGCACGTATCGGCGCTGTGGCTTAGTTGGTTAAAGCGCCTGTCTAGTAAACAGGAGATCCTGAGTTCTTTCAAAACCCTAAAAGATTGTTAGCACGTATCGGCGCTGTGGAATCTCAGCAGTGCCTTTATGAAAATGGCTTATTCTTGTATTTTGTCTCATGGTCTGGAAGATACATTTTTGCTAAAAGAAACCCTAAAAGATTGTTAGCACGTATCGGCGCTGTGGCTTAGTTGGTTAAAGCGCCTGTCTAGTAAACAGGAGATCCTGAGTTCAAATCACAGCAGTGCCTTTATGAAAATGGCTTATTCTTGTATTTTGTCTCATGGTCTGGAAGATACATTTTTGCTTTCAAAACCCTAAAAGATTGTTAGCACGTATCGGCGCTGTGGCTTAGTTGGTTAAAGCGACTGTTGTAAACAGGAGATCCTGAGTTCGAATCAGCAGTGCCAGAAAATGCCTTGTATTTTTTCATGGTCTGAAAATTTTTGGCTTATTCTTGTATTTTGTCTCATGGTCTGGAAGATACATTTTTGCTTTTCTTGTATTTTGTCTCATGGTCTGGAAGATACATTTTTGAAACCCTAAAAGATTGTTAGCACGTATCGGCGCTGTGGCTTAGTTGGTTAAAGTTACTGTTAGTAAACAGGAGATCCTAAATTCGAATCTTAGCAGTGCCTTTATGAAAATGGCTTATTCTTGTATTTTGTCTCATGGTCTGGAAGATACATTTTTGCTTTCGAAACCCAAAAGATTGTTAAATCGGCGCTGTGGCTTAGTTGGTTAAAGCGCCTTCTAGTAAACAGGAGATCCTGAGTTCAAATCTCAGCGCTGTGGCTTGTATTTTGTTCATGGTTGAAGATACATTTTTGCTTTCGAAAAGCGCGCTGTCTAGTAAACAGGAGATCCTGAGTTCGAATCTTAGCAGTGCCTTTATGAAAATGGCTTATTCTTGTATTTTGTCTCATGGTCTGGAAGATACATTTTTGCTTTCGAAACCCTAAAAGATTGTTAGCACGTATCGGCGCTGTGGTTTAGTTGGTAAAAGCGCCTGTCTAGTAAGCCTGTCTAGTAAACAGATCCTGAGTTCAAATCTTAGCAGTGCCTTTATGAAAATGGCTTATTCTTATTGTATTTTGTCTCATGGTCTGGAAGATACATTTTTGCTTTCAAAACCCTAAAAGATTGTTAGCACGTATCGGCGCTGTGGCTTAGTTGGTTAAAGCGACCTGTTGTAAACAGGAGATCCTGAGTTCGAATCTCAGCAGTGCCTTTATGAAAATGGCTTATTCTTGTATTTTGTCTCATGGTCTGGAAGATACATTTTTGCTTTCGAAACCCTAAAAGATTGTTAGCACGTATCGGCGCTGTGGCTTAGTTGGTTAAAGCGACTGTCTAGTAAACAGGAGATCCTAAGTTCGAATCTTAGCAGTGCCTTTATGAAAATGGCTTATTCTTGTATTTTGTCTCATGGTCTGGAAGATACATTTTTGCTTTCTAAAAAACCCTAAAAGATTGTTAGCACATGGTCTGGAAGTCAAAATCGGCGCTGTGGCTTAGTTGGTTAAAGCGCCAGTGTTGTAAACAGGAGATCCTGAGCTCGAATCTCAGCAGTGCCTTTATGAAAATGGCTTATTCTTGTATTTTGTCTCATGGTCTGGAAGATACATTTTTGCTTTCGAAACCCTAAAAGATTGTTTCACGTATCTGCGCTGTGGCTTAGTTGGTTAAGTTACTGTATAGTAAACAGGAGATCCTAAATTCGAATCTTAGCAGTGCCTTCATGAGAATCGCATGTTCCTGTATTTTGTCTCATGGTCTGGAAGATACATTTTGCTTTCAAAACCGAAACGATTTTTAGCACGTATCGGCGCTGGTGCTTATTTGGTTATAGCGCCTGTCTAGCAAACAGGAGATCCTGAGTTCGTATCTTAGCAGCGCCTTCATGAGAATCGCTTTTTCTTGTATTTTGTCTCATGGTTTGGAAGAAACATTTTTGCTTTCGAAACCCTAAAAGATTGTTAGCAAGTATCGGCGCTGTGGCTTAATTGGTTAAAGTTGAGTTCGAATCTAGCAGTGCCTTCATGAGAATCACTTTTTCTTCTATTTTGTCTCATGGTCTTGAAGAAACATTTTTGCTTTCGAAACCCTAAAAGATTGTTAGCACGTATCGGCACTGTGGCTTAGTTGGTTAAAGCGCCTGTCTTGTAAGCGCAGGAGATCCTGAGTTCGAATCTTAGCAGTGCCTTTATGAAAATGGCTAATTCTTGTATTTTGTCTCATGGTCTGGAAGATCAATTTTTTCTTTCGAAACCCTAAAAGATTGTTATTACGTATTTGCGCTGTGGCTTAGTTGGTTAAAGTTACTGTATAGTAAACAGGAGATCCTAAATTCGAATCTTAGCAGTGCCTTTATGAAAATGGCTTATTCTTGTATTTTGTCTCATGGTCTGGAAGATACATTTTTGCTTTCGAAACCCAAAAAGATTGTTAGCACGTATCGGCGCTGTGGTTTAGTTGGTAAAAGCGCCTGTCTAGTAAGCAGGAGATCCTGAGTTCAAATCACAGCAGCGCCTTTATGAAAATCCCTTATTCAAGTATTTTGTCTCATGGTCTGGAAGATACATTTTTGCTTTCAAAACCCTAAAAGATTGTTAGCACGTATCGCCGCTGTGGCTTAGTTGGTTAAAGCGACAGTGTTGTAAACAGGAGATCCTGAGCTCGAATCTCAGCAGTGCCTTTATGAAAATGGCTTATGCTTGTATTTTGTCTCATGGTCTGGAAGATACATTTTTGCTTACGAAACCCTAAAAGATTGTTATCACGTATCTGCGCTGTGGCTTAGTTGGTTAAAGTTACTGTATAGTAAACAGGAGATCCTAAATTCGAATCTTAGCAGTGCCTTTATGAAAATGGCTTATTCTTGTATTTTGTCTCATGGTCTGGAAGATACATTTTTGCTTTCGAAACCCAAAAGATTGTTAGCACGTATCGGCGCTGTGGCTTAGTTGGTTAAAGCGCCTGTCTAGTAAACAGGAGATCCTGAGTTCGAATCTCAGCAGTGCCTTTATGAAAATGGCTTATTCTTGTATTTTGTCTCATGGTCTGGAAGATACATTTTTGCTTTCGAAACCCCAAAAGATTGTTAGCACGTATCGGCGCTGTGGTTTAGTTGGTAAAAGCGCCTGTCTAGTAAGCAGGAGATCCTGAGTTCAAATCACAGCAGTGCCTTTATGAAAATCCCTTATTCAATTCTTGTATTTTGTCTCATGGTCTGGAAGATACATTTTTGCTTTCAAAACCCTAAAAGATTGTTAGCACGTGAAAATCGTATGCGCTGTGGCTTAGTTGGTTAAAGCGACAGTGTTGTAAACAGGAGATCCTGAGCTCGAATCTCAGCAGTGCCTTTATGAAAATGGCTTATTCTTGTATTTTGTCTCATGGTCTGGAAGATACATTTTTGCTTTCGAAACCCTAAAAGATTGTTAGCACGTATCGGCGCTGTGGCTTAGTTGGTTAAAGCGACTGTCTTGTAAACAGGAGATCCTGAGTTCGAATCTCAGCAGTGCCTTTATGAAAATGGCTTATTCTTGTATTTTGTCTCATGGTCTGGAAGATACATTTTTGCTTTCGAAACCCTAAAAGATTGTTAGCACGTATCTGCGCTGTGGCTTAGTTGGTTAAAGTTACTGTATAGTAAACAGGAGATCCTAAATTCGAATCTTAGCAGTGCCTTTATGAAAATGGCTTATTCTTGTATTTTGTCTCATGGTCTGGAAGATACATTTTGCTTTCAAAACCCTAAAAGATTGTTAGCACGTATCGGCGCTGTGGCTTTAGTTGGTTAAAGCGCCTGTCTAGTAAACAGGAGATCCTGAGTTCGAATCTCAGCAGTGCCTTTATGAAAATGGCTTATTCTTGTATTTTGTCTCATGGTCTGGAAGATACATTTTTGCTTTCGAAACCCTAAAAGATTGTTAGCACGTATCGGCGCTGTGGCTTAGTTGGTTAAAGCGCCTGTCTAGTAAACAGGAGATCCTGAGTTCGAATCTTAGCAGTGCCTTTATGAAAATGGCTTATTCTTGTATTTTGTCTCATGGTCTGGAAGATACATTTTTGCTTTCGAAACCCGAAAAGATTGTTAGCACGTATCGGCGCTGTGGCTTAGTTGGTTAAAGCGCCTGTCTAGTAAACAGGAGATCCTGAGTTCAAATCTCAGCAGTGCCTTTATGAAAATGGCTTATTCTTGTATTTTGTCTCATGGTCTGGAAGATACATTTTTGCTTTCAAAACCCTAAAAAAGATTGTTAGCACGTATCGGCGCTGTGGCTTAGTTGGTTAAAGCGACTGTTAGTAAACAGGAGATCCTGAGTTCGAATCTCAGCAGTGCCTTTATGAAAATGGCTTATTCTTGTATTTTGTCTCATGGTCTGGAAGATACATTTTTGCTTTCGAAACCCTAAAAGATTGTTTTTGCGCACGAGTTGGGCGCTGTGGCTTAGTTGGTTAAAGCGCCTGTCTAGTAAACAGGAGATCCTGAGTTCGAATCTTAGCAGTGCCTTCATGAAAATGGCTTTTCTTGTATTTTGTCTCATGGTCTGGAAGATACATTTTTGCTTTCGAAACCCTAAAAGATTGTTAGCACGTATCGGCGCTGTGGCTTAGTTGGTTAAAGCGCCTGTCTAGTAAACAGGAGATCCTGAGTTCGAATCTTAGCAGTGCCTTCATGAGAATCGCTTTTCTTGTATTTTGTCTCATGGTCTGGAAGATACATTTTTGCTTTCGAAACCCTAAAAGATTGTTAGCACGTATCGGCACTGTGGCTTAGTTGGTTAAAGCGCCTGTCTTGTAAACAGGAGATCCTGAGTTCGAATCTTAGCAGTGCCTTTATGAAAATGGCTAATTCTTGTATTTTGTCTCATGGTCTGGAAGATCAATTTTTTCTTTCGAAACCCTAAAAGATTGTTATTACGTATTTGCGCTGTGGCTTAGTTGGTTAAAGTTACTGTATAGTAAACAGGAGATCCTAAATTCGAATCTTAGCAGTGCCTTTATGAAAATGGCTTATTCTTGTATTTTGTCTCATGGTCTGGAAGATACATTTTTGCTTTCGAAACCCAAAAAGATTGTTAGCACGTATCGGCGCTGTGGTTTAGTTGGTAAAAGCGCCTGTCTAGTAAACAGGAGATCCTGAGTTCAAATCACAGCAGCGCCTTTATGAAAATCCCTTATTCAAGTATTTTGTCTCATGGTCTGGAAGATACATTTTTGCTTTCAAAACCCTAAAAGATTGTTAGCACTAAAAGATTGTTATCGCCGCTGTGGCTTAGTTGGTTAAAGCGACAGTGTTGTAAACAGGAGATCCTGAGCTCGAATCTCAGCAGTGCCTTTATGAAAATGGCTATGCTGCTTGTATTTTGTCTCATGGTCTGGAAGATACATTTTTGCTTACGAAACCCTAGAAGATTGTTATCACGTATCTGCGCTGTGGCTTAGTTGGTTAAAGTTACTGTATAGTAAACAGGAGATCCTAAATTCGAATCTTAGCAGTGCCTTTATGAAAATGGCTTATTCTTGTATTTTGTCTCATGGTCTGGAAGATACATTTTTGCTTTCGAAACCCAAAAGATTGTTAGCACGTATCGGCGCTGTGGCTTAGTTGGTTAAAGCGCCTGTCTAGTAAACAGGAGATCCTGAGTTCGAATCTCAGCAGTGCCTTTATGAAAATGGCTTATTCTTGTATTTTGTCTCATGGTCTGGAAGATACATTTTTGCTTTCGAAACCCTAAAAGATTGTTAGCACGTATCGGCGCTGTGGCTTAGTTGGTTAAAGCGCCTGTCTAGTAAACAGGAGATCCTGAGTTCAAATCTCAGCAGTGCCTTTATGAAAATGGCTTATTCTTGTATTTTGTCTCATGGTCTGGAAGATACATTTTTGCTTTCAAAACCCTAAAAGATTGTTAGCACGTATCGGCGCTGTGGCTTAGTTGGTTAAAGCGACAGTGTTGTAAACAGGAGATCCTGAGCTCGAATCTCAGCAGTGCCTTTATGAAAATGGCTTATGCTTGTATTTTGTCTCATGGTCTGGAAGATACATTTTTGCTTTCGAAACCCTAAAAGATTGTTTGCACGTATCGGCGCTGTGGCTTAGTTGGTTAAAGACTGTTAAACAGGAGACTGTCTAGTAAACAGGAAGATCCTAAATTCGAATCTTAGCAGTGCCTTCATGAGAATAAACAGGCTTCGAATTTAGCAGTGCCTGTATTTTGTCTCATGGTCTGGAAGATACATTTTGCTTTCGAAACCCTAAAAGATTGTTAGCACGTATCGGCGCTGTGGCTTAGTTGGTTAAAGCGCCTGTCTAGTAAACAGGAGATCCTGAGTTCGAATCTTAGCAGTGCCTTTATGAAAATGGCTTATTCTTGTATTTTGTCTCATGGTCTGGAAGATACATTTTTGCTTCATGGTCTGGAAGATACGAAACCCTAAAAGATTGTTATCACGTAAAGATTGTTCTGCGCTGTGGCTTAGTTGGTTAAAGTTACTGTATAGTAAACAGGAGATCCTAAATTCGAATCTTAGCAGTGCCTTTATGAAAATGGCTTATTCTTGTATTTTGTCTCATGGTCTGGAAGATACATTTTTGCTTTCGAAACCCTAAAAGATTGTTAGCACGTATCGGCGCTGTGGCTTAGTTGGTTAAAGCGCCTGTCTAGTAAACAGGAGATCCTGAGTTCGAATCTCAGCAGTGCCTTTATGAAAATGGCTTATTCTTGTATTTTGTCTCATGGTCTGGAAGATACATTTTTGCTTTCGAAACCCCAAAAGATTGTTAGCACGTATCGGCGCTGTGGTTTAGTTGGTAAAAGCGCCTGTCTAGTAAACAGGAGATCCTGAGTTCAAATCACAGCAGCGCCTTTATGAAAATCCCTTATTCAAGTATTTTGTCTCATGGTCTGGAAGATACATTTTTGCTTTCAAAACCCTAAAAGATTGTTAGCACGTATCGCGCTGTGGCTTAGTTGGTTAAAGCGACAGTGATCCTAGTAAACAGGAGATCCTGAGTCTCATTCTGGAAGAATCTTCAGCAGTGCCTTTATGAAAATGGAGATCCTTATTCTTGTATTTTGTCTCATGGTCTGGAAGATACATTTTTGCTTTCAAAACCCTAAAAGATTGTTAGCACGTATCGGCGCTGTGGCTTAGTTGGTTAAAGCGACAGTGTTGTAAACAGGAGATCCTGAGCTCGAATCTCAGCAGTGCCTTTATGAAAATGGCTTATTCTTGTATTTTGTCTCATGGTCTGGAAGATACATTTTTGCTTTCGAAACCCTAAAAGATTGTTATCACGTATCTGCGCTGTGGCTTAGTTGGTTAAAGTTACTGTATAGTAAACAGGAGATCCTAAATTCGAATCTTAGCAGTGCCTTCATGAGAATCGCATGTTCCTGTATTTTGTCTCATGGTCTGGAAGATACATTTTGCTTTCAAAACCGAAACGATTTTTAGCACGTATCGGCGCTGGTGCTTATTTGGTTATAGCGCCTGTCTAGCAAACAGGAGATCCTGAGTTCGTATCTTAGCAGCGCCTTCATGAGAATCGCTTTTTCTTGTATTTTGTCTCATGGTTTGGAAGAAACATTTTTGCTTTCGAAACCCTAAAAGATTGTTAGCAAGTATCGGCGCTGTGGCTTAATTGGTTAAAGTTGAGTTCGAATCTAGCAGTGCCTTCATGAGAATCACTTTTTCTTCTATTTTGTCTCATGGTCTTGAAGAAACATTTTTGCTTTCGAAACCCTAAAAGATTGTTAGCACGTATCGGCACTGTGGCTTAGTTGGTTAAAGCGCCTGTCTTGTAAACAGGAGATCCTGAGTTCGAATCTTAGCAGTGCCTTTATGAAAATGGCTAATTCTTGTATTTTGTCTCATGGTCTGGAAGATCAATTTTTTCTTTCGAAACCCTAAAAGATTGTTATTACGTATTTGCGCTGTGGCTTAGTTGGTTAAAGTTACTGTATAGTAAACAGGAGATCCTAAATTCGAATCTTAGCAGTGCCTTTATGAAAATGGCTTATTCTTGTATTTTGTCTCATGGTCTGGAAGATACATTTTTGCTTTCGAAACCCAAAAGATTGTTAGCACGACCATGAGACAAAATACAAGAAAAAGTGATTCTCATGAAGGCACTGCTAGATTCGAACTCAAGCACCAACGTGCTAAAAATCGCTTTAACCAATTAAGCCACAGCGCCGAAATACGTGCTAACAATCTTTTAGGGTTTTAGAAAGAAAAATGTATCTTCCAGACCATGAGACAAAATACAAGAAAAGCTCAGGATTCTCATGACTAAGGCGCTGCTAAGATTGAGACAAAATACGAACTCAGGATCTCCTGTTTACTAGACAGGCGCTTTAACCAAACTAAGCCACAGCGCAAATACGTGCTAAAAATCTTTTAGGGTTTGAAAGCAAAATGTATCTTCCAGACCATGAGACAAAATACAAGAACAAGCCATTTTCAAAAAGGCACTGCTAAGATTCGAATTTAGGATTTCCTGTTTACTAGACAGTCGCTTTAACCAACTAAGCCACAGCGATTCGAACTCGTGATAACAATCTTCTAGGGAAAGCAAAATGTACAGACCATGAGACAAAATACAAGAACAAAACACCTAAGATTCAGGATCTCCTGTTTATACAGTAACTTTAACCAACAGCCACAGCGCTTTTAGGGTTAACAAATCTTTTCAGGGAAAGCAAAAATGTATCTTCCAGACCATGAGACAAAATACAAGCATAAGCCATTTCATAAAGGCACTGCTAAGATTCGAACTCAGGATCTCCTGTTTACTAGACGCTTTAACCAACTAAGCCACAGCGGCGATACGTGCTAACAATCTTTTAGGGTTTTGAAAGCAAAAATGTATCTTCCAGACCATGAGACAAAAATTGAAAGGGAAACTGTGATTTGAATCAGGATCTCCTGATTTACTAGACATACCAACTAAACCACAGCGCCGATTTGCTAACAATCTTTTAGGGTTTCGAAAGCAAAAATGTATCTTCCAGACCATGAGACAAAATACAAGAATAAGCATTTCATAAAGGCACTGCTAAGATTCCGAACTTAGGATCTCCTGTTTACTAGACTACTTTAACCAACTAAGCCACAGCCGATACGTGCTAACAATCTTTTAGGGTTTGAAAGCAAAAATGTATCTTCCAGACCATGAGACAAAATACAAGAATAAGCCATTTTCATAAAGGCACTGCTAAGATTCGAACTCAGGATCTCTGTTTACTAGACAGGCGCTTTAACCAACTAAGCCACAGCGCAGGCGTCCTAACAATCTTTTGGGGTTTCGTAAAGCAAAATGTATCTTCAGACCATGAGACTACAAGCATAAGCCATTTTCATAAAGGCACTGCAGATTCGAGCTCAGGATCTACTCGCTTTAACCAACTAAGCCACAGCGCCGATACGTGCTAACAATCTTTTAGGGTTCGAAAGCAAAAATGTATCTTCCAGACCATGAGACAAAATACAAGAATAAGCCATTTTCAAAAAGGCACTGCTAAGATTCGAATTTAGGATTTACCTTTTAACTACACAGACAGATAACAATCTTCTAGGGTTTCGCTTCTTCCAGACCCAACATAAGCCATTTTCCACAGCGCCGATACAACACGTGCAAACAAATCTTTTAGGGTTTTGAAAGCAAAAATGTATCTTCCAGACCATGAGACAAAATACAAGAATAAGCCATTTTCATAAAGGCGCTGCTGATTTGAACTCAGGATCTCCTGTTTACTAGACAGGCGCTTTAACCAACTTAGCCACAGCGCCGATACGTGCTAACAATCTTATTGGGTTTGAAAGCAAAAATGTATCTTCAGACCATGAGACAAAATACAAGAATAAGCCATTTTCATAAAGGCACTGCTAAGATTCGAATTTAGGATCTCCTGTTTACTATACAGTAACTTTAACCAACTAAGCCACAGCGCAGATACGTGATAACAAATCTTTTAGGGTTTCGTAAGCAAAAATGTATCTTCCAGACCATGAGACAAAATACAAGCAACTCAGCCATTTTCATAAAGGCTAACAATCTTTAGGAGATCTTCCAGACCATGAGACAAAATCAGGATCTCCTGTTTACAACACTGTCGCTTTAACCAACTAAGCCACAGCGGCGATACGTGCTAACAATCTTTTAGGGTTTTGAAAGCAAAAATGTATCTTCCAGACCATGAGACAAAATACTTGAATAAGGGATTTTCATAAAGGCGCTGCTGTGATTTGAACTCAGGATCTCCTGTTTACTAGACAGGCGCTTTTACCAACTAAACCACAGCGCCGATACGTGCTAACAATCTTTTGGGTTTCGAAAGCAAAAATGTATCTTCCAGACCATGAGACAAAATACAAGAATAAGCCATTTTCATAAAGGCACTGCTAAGATTCGAATTTAGGATCTCCTGTTTACTATACAGTAACTTTAACCAACTAAGCCACAGCGCAAATACGTAATAACAATCTTTTAGGGTTTCAAAGAAAAAATGTGATCTTCCAGACCATGAGACAAAATACAAGAATTAGCCATTTTCATAAAGGCACTGCTAAGATTCGAACTCAGGATCTCCTGTTTACAAGACAGGCGCTTTAACCAACTAAGCCACAGTGCCGATACGTGCTAACAATCTTTTAGGGTTTGAAAGCAAAATGTTTCTTCAAGACCATGAGACAAAATAGAAGAAAAGTGATTCTCATGAAGGCACTGCTAGATTCGAACTAACAACTTTAACCACCATGAGACAAAATAAGCCATTTTCATGAAGGCACTGCAGCGCTCAGGATACTGTTTGCTAACAATCTTTTAGGGTTTGAAAGCAAAAATGTATCTTCCAGACCATGAGACAAAATACAAGAAAAAGCGATTCTCATGAAGGCACTGCTAAGATTCGAACTCAGGATCTCCTGTTTACTAGACAGGCGCTCTAACCAACTAAGCCACAGCGCCGATACGTGCTAACAATCTTTTAGGGTTTCGAAAGCAAAAATGTATCTTCCAGACCATGAGACAAAATACAGGAATAAGCGATTTTCATAAAGGCACTGCTAAGATTCGAATTTAGGATTTCCTGTTTACTAGACAGTCGCTTTAACCAACTAAGCCACAGCGCCGATACGTGCAAACAAATCTTTTAGGGTTTCGAAAGCAAAAATGTATCTTCCAGACCATGAGACAAAATACAAGAATAAGCCATTTTCATAAAGGCACTGCTGAGATTGAACTCAGGATCTCCTGTTTACTAGACAGGCGCTTTAACCAACTAAGCCACAGCGCCGATACGTGATAACAATCTTTTAGGGTTTGAAAGCAAAAATGTATCTTCCAGACCATGAGACAAAATACAAGAATAAGCCATTTTCATAAAGGCACTGCTAAGATTCGAACTCAGGATCTCCTGTTTACTAGACAGTCGCTTTAACCAACTAAG